GAGAGAGAGAGAGAGAGAGAGAGAGAGAGAGAGAGAAGCGCAAATGGTCTACAGAATCTCTTCATCTATGAAGAAACGTTTGGCGAGATACTCTTCGATCGAGACGGGAGAGAGCATTGTAGGTTATGTCGTTCTCACTTTACTGACTCTTGATCTGGGTGCCTTCGCCTCGTATATGAGCGGGAAGGTCATGGGGACGTGCGTTGCACTTTCGTTCGTGGCGGCTTTTTCGAAAGTCATTGCGTTCATGGAGAACTCGTATTTCAGCGGCAGGTCGTGCGCGCAGATCGCCTCTATTACACCCCATAGATTTCAGCTCGGCCGCGTAAGTATTCTGACGGACGACTTTCAGGTTGCTTTGACTTTTAATGATGTGCAAGTCGCAGTCCGCCTACTTGCCATGGTTGTACAAGTAGGTCTCGGGATCCTCCTCCGTTTGTCTACTTCTGACATCGGGGAAATCGTGAGCAACGACGCGGAGGTGGCAAAGCACCGTCTCCAAGAGTTGCTCAGGGCCACATATATTTCAGTCTTAATCCATTCTTCCTTATCCGCTGCGTTACTCTTTTTCGCGGTCTCTTGCGTTCTATGTAATCAATTAGTTACTGTCGCTGCTGGCTGTGTCAACCTCCTTTGCCATGGATGCTTTGTACGAACGGCAATCAGCAGAATACCGCCTTATGGCGAGGGCCCGCTAAACCAGCGCCTCCGCAGAATGATTAGCGAGGACATAGTCGCTAGGATGTGGCAGGTGCACCATCGCCGTCACTTGGGCTTCACTGTTGTGGATGCCCAAGCGAATAGGGACTCGTGCGGGCTGCAAGGGTATTGGTTCTACAGCATGAAAGAGCTGCTTCAGATTGTCAGAGCGGAACTAGCTGACTTGCCAGATGTGGGTTCGGGGTGAACGGACGAAAATTCACAAGTACAGGAAGGTCATAACAACTTGAAGATGGCCCTCACGTCCCTCCTTGAACTTTCGAGGAAGAGAGATCTGCATGCGACCTGCGTCTTTACTTGCAAATCAGGTGAGATGGCTAGACATATGCAGGATCTGCCCCTGCTGAGCCGTTGCAGCAACGATGTAGATGCAGGCCGAGATTTCGCGCGAGCGGAAGGATACGTGGTCATGCTGCAAGTTCTCGAATGTGCTCCTCCCAACGCAGGAGAGGTTGAGATGGCTGCATCGATCCTTGCCGGCTTCGGCTGGGGCCTCTCTGTCCTGCCTTGGCAACACGACAGGGAAGTGGAGGACAAAGACTTCGTTTTGAAAATGCTGTTGGACGATGATTTTCACTACTGCACCAAGGAGCTTCTTCATGAACTGTTAAAACTGCTCCCTTGCCTTCCCCCGCAGACGGGTGGAAGTCGGTCGGCCTGCACCAGGCCAGACAACGGGTCGCTTCAAGAAGCCGCTATTTCTGCTCTCTGTTCTTTTTCACACGCCGCAAGTGACGTGCACTCGCAGGCTGAGCGCTGTGAACGCTGCGAGCAGGGTGCAAGCGCTGGCAACCTTGAGTGTGACGCGTCTGATTGCACAATTAGACTCTGCAATGCGTTCAGCACAAAGTGTCCGACTAGTTGGCTTCTGAAGAAAGAGATGCCTGACTTTCGAGGGGCGGGCAATACGTGGGTGAGAGCCGTAACCTCCGTCCTAGACAATCAGGCAGCGGTCGACCTTCTGCTCAGTTGTGCGAGGAACGAGCTCAACGTGTCACGCAGGTTCGTCGGGGACGCCATCCGGACCTTGTCCTCTCTCTGGTCCTGCAAGGCGATATATTGGCATCGTTTCGATAAAAGGATACCGAAGGATTTCCCTCCTCCGTTGGCTGACGTCAGCACACTTCCGAACCACGAGGAGGTAACGCAGAAGCTCGCGTCGCTGGTCCACGAGAGCGCGGCGGACCGATCATCTGTATCCCCTCTTGCGAAGCTGCATCTTGCGCAGATCCTTATCTCTCAGAATATCAGGGATGAGCAGTTGGACGTTGACATAGCGGACGTCCTCCTGCATTGCCTCCGGTACTGGAGGAGAGCAGTTGGTAACCATCTGCTTGAGTATTTCGCTTGCGAGGTCATGGAAACACTGTGGGACCTTTTTGAGACGTCAGAAAACAAAGTGTCCATCTTAGGGAGGATAGAGAGATCTCCAGGAGGTGTGGGCTGTCTCAAACTCATGACTTCGACTGTTTTGGCTCCCATTCGTGCCGTCAGGCTGGAGCACAATAACTTCGACAGCCTCTTGTCTGACTACTTGCTGAAAGACAAAGTCAACGACTGGTGTACAGAGGACTACGTGACTGATTGTGCAGGTACCGCAGCCGGGCTTCTTGCGTTGTTCTTATCTGTACCAGGCGGGCCGGACTTCATCACGCCTGCTAATATTGAGTTCTTGGGGGCTGCTGTAGAGCACGCCACCTGCGACGGGCAAGCGCCAATTTCGCAACCCTTAGTCGAGAATGTGTTAGGACGACTCGGTAGGGCGCTTGGTTGGCTGTGCATTCTGCTAGGTCATCTGACGTGGCAACCGCGAACCTCGCAGTGTGTGGCTGAAACAATTAGTAATAGTCGTGCGTAAACTTGTTCATACACGAAACGTTGTCAGACTAATGTGCAAAGTTGTGAGAAGAAATCCGGGGATCCCGCTTCAGAATCTTTCTCCTGTTCTCGCCATGCTGCGCGAAATGCCCGTTCTCAGGCTATAGACACCGCGAAGACTCCAAGCGTTCAAAATGAATTGTGAACGAGAAACAGACGCTAAAATTGAAAAGATACGGTAAACATGACGGGGGGTTATGGCAAAGGAAAAGCAAGTAGCTGCTGCTCGTGTGCCAAATCATGCCAACACAGCTGCACAAATGGGATGACTGCTGCAGGATGTAGTCCGAGTCTGCCTTTTTATGTTTTCTGTTGTTGCCTGCATGGGTCCTGGGGACCATCTCACGCAAGTGTGTACATGTCATGCATCATACTCACACACAATGATCAGTAGTCTCACACAGTAGACAAAGGTAGATGAGAAGAGAATCGAGTTTCACAGCTTATATTATCAAAACTATGATTGCAAAGAGTTTCATAGTTCTCTGAGTCTGGCGCTCATCAGCGCTATGCAAATCCTTTGTCAACTCATCAATATGACTTCCAGTACATCAGCGCTACTCCTGCAGATTGTCTCTAAGTCATCAATGTGGTCACTACTCATCAGCGCCACCTCTGCAGTTCACCTCCAACTCAGGTAAGTATCTTCCATAGCCAAACCTTGAATGAACACTCCCTGCCTCAGTCCCTTCCTCCTACGATGCATACACACCTGTCTCTTATACACATCTAGATGTGTATAAGAGACAGTCCCTACACGATCTTCATCCTCCAGCGCTGCTCCTACTGACTGGCGCACAAGTGCTTCAGCACTTCCACGCACAGAATGCCAGTCGAGATCTGGCGAGGAATGAGGCTGGCTGCTGCCTTTATAGTGCTGGCCTCTCCTCCCTGGGTCTGCATTGGCTCAGTTCAGCCTTTGCTTCGTCCAAGACCCTGCATTGCATGTGTCCTAGTACAGTCCCAATGAAGTTCAACTGCTGCTGAGGCCTTTCAGCCTAGATTTGGACTTGAAAGTCTGGATCTGGACTGTCCCCTGGACTTAGACAAGAACTGGGACTTAACCTATTGACTTACTTTGGGACAGGCACATTTTTAGACGAACAGACACACTCACTGCCTGAATAAACACTCCCAAGGTGTGAATAAACACTCTTCTCTGCACGAACATGTGCACTGACTGCACGCACAGACACACCCTATTCCGAATAGACATGACATGCACATCTCCTGGTGAACGGGTAAGTCTTTTGACAATGCCCTTTGCTTTAGATCTGGATGTGCACGTTGATAGAGAACTTCACCTTTGACCTGCTTTCACGTTTCTGAGCCCTGGCGAGATACCCTTTTACGCTGCTTTACTTTTACAAGGCCTGAAGCCTGCATCGGGTAAAGACCCTTTTACTCTCGCCGGCCTAGTTTCGAAGTCCTCTGAGAATCATTTACCTATTAAGGATATGAATCCCTCTTTTTGCGCTTTCATATGCAGACACAATATGAGGTGCAGAGTCTAATAACTCTTCTCGTGTGAACCAGCGATCTTCACTAGGATCCTAGTACAAAAACCTCACCTTATATTGTCGTTGTGGTCTGCCTCTACGTCCAGTGTGGTAAGTACTTTCTGCAACAATTTTATCCACGTAATACTTCCCATCCATACTTGGAGGTATCGCTGATCGGCGACTTGGAAAGAGCTCATTTGTTACACAAGGTAAGAGCTTGGACGCATGGAACACTGGATATGTACGTAGATGTAGAGGAATCTCGATGACATACGGAGGACCATCCACATCTCCAATTACGTCTAAAACTTGCCGAGGTCCGCTGTACGTGGGTAAAAGCTTCTGAGAGATGATTTCTTCAGGAGCAAACTCTTTAGATTTCACCCAAACCAAATCTCCTACAGCAAATTGAGACGGTCGTCTGCGTTTATTTGATTGTTCAATCATCTGATACTATGCTTTGACTATGTTTTCCTTTACCTTCTCAATGTCTTTCTGATACTGGACTGCAAATTCAGGAGTCCCTATAGGAAGCTTATGTACTTGATCCGGGTTCAATCCATCAATGGGTCTGCGTGGACGCCATCCCAGATGTAACTCCATAGGAGTCTTACACGTAGACAGGTGTACAAAGTTATTGTAGGCACTAGCAACCTTAGGGAGATGTTCATCCTAGTCAATTTGATCGGGACGAATGTACATGCGTAAAGTTTGTTGTAATATCTTGTTCATCTGGTCAGTCTGGCCATTAGTCTCAGGATGTCTACCTTAGGACATAGTCAACTTAGAGTCATATACATTCATCAGTTGCTGCCATTGTTCACTTGTGAACCTGGTATCTCTGTTACTTACAATAGTCAAGGGATGCCCAAAGTCTTTTACCCAATGGTTAAAGAACTCTCGAATTACCAAATCAGTCCTGGCTTCTGAAGGCAAAGCTACAGAAACAACATACTTGGTGAATCTATCCACTACGACCATTACTTGCGTTTTTCCATTTCTGCTCTTCATCTTAGTATCCATGAAATCTATAGAGACAAAGTTTCCTGGGCTTGTAGGGATAGGCAATGGCTTAAGTAACCCAAGGGGCGATTGCGTGGTGCTTTTGTTTCGTAAGCATACTTCACAATCTTGAACATACGTGATACAGTCTGCCTTCATTCGAGGTCATGTGTAGGAACGCGACAAAGTTCCATAGGTCTTCTTCCACTCAAAACAGCCTTCTCTATCATGGCATTCCCCCAATATCATACTCTTGATCTCTTCATTATTTGGTATACACAGCCTATCATTCACATTAGTTCGTTTGAACAATAGACCCTGAGTAACTTTACGATCAGGAAACTCTGTGGGTTTTTCTTGTATTTGCTTAATCATGGTCTAAGAGATAAAATCAGAGGAATACGTCTTCCTAATCTTCTCTTGTAGGTCAACACCCACATGAAAATAAGTCACAATAGCACCGAAGAAGTCTGATCTACGACTTAGTGCATCAACAACAACGTTATACTTACCCCTTACTGGCTTTAGCTCAAAATCAAACATATCAATCTTCGTAGCCCACCTTGTCAACTTAGGTGTCATTCGAGCTTGCGTTTTGAGTCAGCGAAGCGTTTCATGGTCGGATTATACCTTAAAATGCCTTCCTTGAAGATAGTGTCGCCAATGATTGAGAGCCTTACGAAAAACATACAACTCTCTTTCATACGTAGAGGCGACCACTTTCTCATTAGGCAATCGGCAAGACATAAACTCCACAGGTCTGTATCCATGCCCATCGTTTTGCTGGAGTACAACACCTATACCATATTGACTGGCGTCGGTCGTGACTACGAAAGGTAATGAAGGGTCTGCCACTTTCAAAACCGGATAGTTAATCAAACACTTTTTCAGACGCTTGAAAGACATCGTGCAGTCTGAATCCCACTTCCAAATTACTTCTTTTTTAAGCAATCTGCGCAGGGGAGCAACTATTATCGTAAAGTGTCTTATAAACTTGCGATAGTAATTGGCTAACCCAAGGAACGACCGCAACTCAGTCAAAGTGCGGGGGTTAGGCCTTCTTCATCCATTTTTCAACAACGTATCGAGTTGGGTTCGCAGCTCATCTAATTTCTGGTGCGACATACGATATATAGGCCCCTTTGGGGGCGCGCTCCCTGAAATCATATCAATGCGGTGTCGGATTGGTCTTTCTACCACACCACTTGGGGCTTCAGCCACATCGGCGAACTCTTTCAGGACCCTCTCAATCTCTTGAGACAAGACTTCTTCCTTAGTTTCTCCTTCCTTTACTGGGCGCACATATGCAACAAAGACTTGGTCATACAAGTTGTGTTTCTTTACATGGCGAGCAAACACTGGGGCAGTCATGCAAGAGTAAGCTAGGCTGCTTTCCTTTCCAGACTCACGATAGAGACGAATGTTATTTTTACCTCCTTGTGGACTTGGGAGCCAACATTCAAGCTCTCTCAATTTTAGATCCGCATGCGCAGCGTCACCCCAATCCATTCCTAGCAACACATCAAAGGGCAAATTATCCTCCACCAAGAAGGTCAGAGAGTGGAGAACACGTTCCACCTTCCCCTCTGCCTCTAGCCAAGAGTATATTTGAACCCCCTCGATGTATCGATCCATAAAGGTTTCACTACTATTAGCTAACTTACTTACAATGGGTTTTTTCAGTCTTTTAACCTTAAGCCCAAGAAGCAGTTTCTGTAAACCTTTCTTACTGATATAACTGCGTGTAGATCCGCTGTCTATCATACCTCCTACTCTTACTCAATTTATTTCCAGATTTGCAATTATTAGCTGTCCTTTTTTTTTTCGCATTTCAGTCCAGGCTTCGCGACGAGCGGCCAACTCATCTCCCACGCCAGCAAGGGATCCATCTAGAGAGATGCATACATTTGCAACCTCTGGACAGTGCACTAGATGGGGACTTTTTTCCTCTTTAGTTTCTGCCATTGGGGCCTTCGAATGGGAGGATTCTTATTTTTCAACATTCGAAGCCCGTGTAGAGGTAATTGGCACCTCTACTGGCTGTTCCCTTTTGCCCCCCTATAGTCAGGGCAACAGGGGACAATGTGGTCGGGGTCCCCACACTTGAGGCATTGGTCTGCCTTCTTTCTTTCGGCCCAGACTTTTTCGTTTATTCCCAATTTTTTCCAAGGCTCTCCTTCAGGTAGGCCTGGATGTGGTGGGTATGGTTTGTCCCACTTATTGTACCACATACCTCTTCCTCTACCCAGGTGGAGTAAGAACCATGCGCTGAAGACTATTGCAGCGCTCCTCCTGAGTGCTGCGGCCGAATCCTGAAGACTACTTCTGCCTACTGACTCTGCCTGCCCGTGAAGTGCATGGGATCCTCCTTTGTACTACGGGTGTGCCTCTTGAGCCTGCCGAAGGAAGGCAGGGGCTGCAGCTGCAGCTCCTGCTCGAGCACGTGAGGAACAGGCTATTTTGGGCCTGTTCCGCATCCCTGTTTCCGTGCCTGAGTCTTAGGRRCAGGTCGAAACAATGAGGGCCTGAAAATGGCCCTCCRTTTCAGGCTGAAAACTCTGGGTCTGAAAAGACCCAGAAATAGGCTGAAACGAGGTAGGGCCTGCAGGCCCTCGTTTTTCAGCATCCAGGCTGAAATGAACGGGGCCT